CCTCCCGGCATGCCCTTGCGTCTCGGCGAGCCCCACGCAAGCCCTGGCCTTTGCTGTTTGATCCCTCTTTCCCCCAGATGAAAGTGATGTTCGCCGGAAGGAAGCCATCCGGGCAAAGGTGAGCAAAATAGTCCTGGTGGGGGAAAGGGCTATGGCACTGCCTGCTTTCCCTGTCCAGTCTGGCTTTGCAAGGTCCTCTCTCCTGGGGAGAGTCCCCCTGTGCATTGCCAGGCAATGTGATGCTTGTCTGTGTGATGCTTGATGCTGCCCTGGGGAGTTTTAGTGCCCTCTGCTACCATCCCCAAGGCAAGCAGTGGAGAGGGGGAGGCTGGCCTGACTGTATCGCATGAAGCCACCCCAGGCACTGAGATACCCCACGGGCTGGCCCCCGGAGCCCCCTTAACCTGCCACCCTGCTGTCACCAGGTGGGGCAGTACATCTCCCGAGCAGAGGAGCTGAAAGCGCTGGTCATGAGCGACAGCAAGAGTCTTCTGCAGCAAGGAAACCCTGCCAGGGAGATCCTTAAAGGTATCGTTCCTGTGGGGCTGAGCCAACCCCTGACAAGCCTGAGCTGGGAACTGGGCCCCTGCTAGACGGGAGCAAAGCCTGAGGCTCATGTAGAAGGTCTCTCCCTGCTGCCTGGCCACAGGCTGGCAAGACGGTTGGACCATCTCTCCTCTGCCACGCACCCCAATGTGTTACGTGACGCAGAGTTTCGCCTGAGAAGGGTAGAAAGGCGCTGGGCAGGGAGGAAGTTGCAGAGGGGTGTCAACGTAGCAGAAGGAGAGCCTCTCTTGTGGTTGTGGGCTGAAGGATAGCTCCCTCTCCCTGCAGCCCGGGGCTGCTCTGCAATGCCTGTCCTGAAATGTCTCCTTGCAGAGATGGCCAAGGACAAGCCTCGTCTCTGTGCTGCACTGGAAATGGCTTCCGCAGCCATTGCTAAGGTGAGCCGCGGACCGGGGGCTCCCTCTACCCTCTGAATGGCAGGGGGTTTCCGGAAGGGGAAAGAGAAAACCCAGGTGGAGAAGGAACTCGCATTTCCCCCCAGCATCCCTCCGGCAGCCATCCTGCATCATCCCTGCGCGTGCCCTGAGCCTGACTGAGCCCCGCGGGGTCTCTTGCAGGAGGAGGAAGGCAAAGACGACGGTGACACCCTGGAGCTCTACCAGCAGAGCCTGGGCGAGCTGCTGCTCATTCTGGCTGGTGAGTTGTGGCCACAGTGGGTAGAGGCCGGGGCTGCTCCTGCGCCTGGTGCAGCCGGCTGATGGTACGTCTTCCCTCTCCAGCAGAGCCTGCGGGGAGGAGACGGGAGCTGCTCCACGCAGAGGTAAGTGCCAGCATGCCTTTTTGGCACGGAGGTCAGGCAAGCTGGGCTCGCTGGGGGCTGGCATCTCTCTAGAGTCAGGGCAGGCCTTGGGCTTCCTGCAGAAAGCACAGATGCCAGGCAGGCTACCAAGAGCTCTTTGAGGGTAGCCTGCAGCACAGGGGCCAGAGGGGCTCGGAGATGGAAGGAATGATCAAAAATAGCTGTCTCGGTCGCCTCCCGCCCCTGGGGTCCTTCTCCTGCTGGCAAGACTCAGCCTGATCCTAACCCTCTCTCGGCTGACCCTGAGTTTTGGCTCTTGGCAGTTTTGGTGTTATCTCTAGAGGTGCCTGGTGCACCGAGTGCTTCAGGTCTTCTGGTGTGAGCCCGCAGGACCTCCTCTTTGATGCATCGGGGGCTGCCGGGTGGGCTTTGGTTCAGGGGTTATTTGGAGCGCCTGGTGTCCGTCTCCCCAGGGGCACTGGTGCTGGCTGCCCACGTGCTGGGGGCTAAACTGGCTGCCAGAAGTGGGTCAGCAAACCCTGCCGAGGTCAATTGCCTATCCCCATCGCGGGGTCTGAGCCCGGCCTCGGGGCAGTGTGCCCCCTGCCCTGTGGCATTGCTTTGAAGGGACTTGGCATGTGTCTCTGGCAGATCCAGACGCTGATGGCCCGAGCCGAGTACCTGAAAGATCATATCAAGGTACGGCTGCTTGGGAGGGCTTCGGTGATGGGCTGGGGGGTGCTGGGAAGCGACGGTGTTAGCAGGCTGGACCACTCTCCTCTCTCGTCGCAGATGCGGGAGGGGCAGTCTATGGGCAAGGAGGCGCTGGGGGG